CGCCATCGAGGTCGGGATACGAGCGCTGCTCTTCGGCGTCTTCGTGTAAGTGGCCGCCCGCGAAGTTTGCCCCGCGCCCCTCCGTGGGGCTGAGGGGAGAAGGGCAGCCTGGCCCTGCCCCGGGCCCGCTCCCGGGCCCGGCTGCTTTCCCTTCCCCCTGGCACGGGAGCTGATCTTGGCCCCGCCCGGGTCAGCTGTTGCTCCTGCGAGGGGTCGGGGCAGGTCGAGCCGGGCCGGGCAGGAGGCGCTTGTGTCTGCTGGGAGTGGGCGACGGGGCTGGGGTTGAGTGTCACCCTTGTGTCGGCATCGGGGGACAGGAGCGCTGGGGCGCCTGATGCCTGCCCGGGAGGTGACCGTACGAGCGACTTGAGTCTGTAGCCTGGGAAGCCCCGGTCTAGGCACTCGCGTGCGTTAAGAGGATGCCTCGAGAGCTGCGCGGGCATTACAACCCCTTCTCCAAGGGGGTGACAGCAGCTGTGCAGCAATGCTGCTCCCTTGACTGCGTGCATCAAGTGGCCGTGGATTAGATTAAAAAAAAAAAAAAATGAAGCTGGTTTTTACTGTCTGCTGCTGCTGTGTGCACTTCGCTCTCGAGGTACGTGAAGAGGGAAAAAGTTCAGGATTTTAGATGAGATCCCGTTTCAGTTGCTCAGTGTTTGAGGATGTGCGTTCTCAAACTTTCTCGTCCTGCTCGAGTGCTGTGGATACTGCCACAGATCCTTTGATCCAATAAAGGTTTGGTCACTGGGTGAATTGTCTCTAAAAGTCCTGTTTACTTGACACAGACATGGACAAATGCAGGACAGGATACTCATTATGCCACGATGCTGCTTTCTCACTGGTGGTATTTCAGTCCTTTACTTGTATTTCTACCTGGGCGCCTCTATTATAATTTGCCCAGTGTACTGCTAGTCGAAATTTTCTTCAAAGCTCATTTGCCGTGAATATAGATGCAGGTCTTTCTATGAGGAATGCAGTAGTTTTGGTAACTATATCATCTTCCTCATTTTCAGCTAACTTTCAATAGCTTTTCTCCCAGTGCCGCCTTGTTCATTACAGTGGAGCTATTTCTGGAATAAACAACTCAATGCAAATGCAAAAGTGTCAGCATTTGGCCCTTTTAATCTTGTGCAATGTATGGCTTTTTTTTTTTTACAATATGTGATCACTACCACGAGACCTTTTTTGCATAGCAAATCATGGCTAATTGTAGTATTCATATGACACTTGTTTTTCCAGGTCACTCTTATTTTCTCCCTTACCTTTCCTCTCCAAAAAAAGTTTTATTTCCATTTACTTTGCTTATTATTTAATAGCTTTGAAATTAATTCCCAGTTTTGGCTGGATAAAGGAAGTCAAGTCTCCAAAATTGTAAAACGGAGAATGACTTATTAGACGACCCCTCGCCCTTTTCTAATGGGTAAGCCCCTACTTTTACATGCTTGGATTCTGGGAGCTATCTTATGAAACCACTAAGTAATTTTTAACGCTCATTATCAATGCAGAGAACATGACTTCTAAAATATTTATCATTCCAAATTCACATCCGGGTGGCTATTTTTTTTTGTGAAGGGTTGCACCTTAGGGCGTAAGAATTACAAGGCTATGATCCTCAGACAAGGAGACTTACTTTACATTCTGGTAATCCTAGCCCCACATAAACCATTCTTATAGCAATGATGCACAAACAGTATTTTTCAGTTTCTAATGTTTCCCCTAAATCAGTGGCGCTCAATGTTTTTGGATGCAAGGCACATCTCATTAGACTCGAGGCTCCCCTAGGAAAACCCCAGTGATTAGCTTTCACTCATTTCTTGCCTCCGAAAAAAATAATAGAACAATTCTTTTGTTGTAAAGAACTGGGAGAGACCACAACAGGTCAGAACGGTCTTGATGCTGTGGATTCAGACTTGAAGCTTCTGGGTTTATCTTTTGAATCACGTGTAGGTGCTTCATTAGCGTGGCGCCCTGCTTACGAATCGCTGCCCGAAAGCATGCCAGGAGAACCGTTTGTGCTCTTGACACTTCTTTTCTTTCAAGGTTTTTACATATTATTGATAGGTTTTATGCAAGAAAACTTGGTGTGCAGTGGAATTAGTGCATCTGAAGGAGATGTCAATCAGATTACTTTCAGGGAAGAAAAAGTAATCGTTCTACCATTATTAGTGACATCTAGCAACCGGCAAGCTGTGGAATCGGGGGCTCCTTGGAATCTAAAGCCCTTGGCAGCAGGAATACAAACTTTCCTGGCTGTTTTGGGAGACCCAGCTCTAGGACTCAGAAGGCAGTGTCTTCATAAAGAAAGAAATGCAGCTGACTTCACCGAGCTTTGGGAAAGGCCCCGGAAACCTCTGTACTGAGGCTGCCAGTTGCAATGAAGATACGTGTCCACTCGGAACTGGACTGAGGAAAACAAAGTAATTCTGCAAAGCTGTTGATGACTTTGGGTCTCTACTAACCTTGATAGGATTAGAGGTCTGTCCTGGAGGAGAATGGTTCCCTCGCTTATTGCCATCCTGTGTGCCATCTCTTCTCCCCAGATGCCCTTGTAGGTTCAAAGTTTTGATGAATATAACTGACAATAATATTGGAGCATTTTCCAGTTAGAGACAAAAGAGAAGGATGCGCTTGCTATACTTGAATGCCACCACACAGCGTGATGGAATATGTACACATCGTCCGTTTGAGGACTCCGTTTACAGGTGTTGAAATTGTTTGTATTGCAAGTTTGAATGAACAGCGCAGCAGCTAGATCTCTTTTACTTAAAAGCTTCTGTCAACTTTTCTTTTCTTAGTGGTGGAAGCCATCATGAATTGTTCCAGGATAGTCAAAACGCTATACTGCGGAATGGTTTTGAAGGATCTTCTTGATCGAATAGGCATCAGAAGTCACTAAAATGTATACATTGATATGACAGTTATGTGTATTAGCACTGAAGAGGAATCATTCTCAAATTCTGGAATAATAGAAATGATCATAATTGAAGTAGATTGAGCATTGAAGTTGGCATTATTATCTGAATACTAAACTAGCAATTTAGGAGCAGTTCACATATTAAAATTAAGTTATTGACATGCCTGTGTGTTTACAAAGATCAAGTGCTGCAGGTTATTCTGGCCCTCTGGGTTTACAGCTACTGAAGTAGAGATAAGTTCAGTGATACGTATTTGAAGATCTAGGGCCCACTAAACTTCTGAGCCACAAGTTGCAAAATTGTTTAAAAAGCAAAATAGAGGATAATGCATCCTATTTTTGGGCGGGTGGAGAGATTTTGTTTTGCTGCATTCACTGAAATAGCCCTCAAGCCACAGCTGAAACAGGGAGGAAGTGAAATGCCGTTTTGTTCTTTCCTATTTTTTTTTTTTTTGGTTTTCAGCAGACTAACTATGCCACTTGCTTTTTTAAAAAAAATCAATCAGTGTATCAATCTGACTGAACCTGTGCCTATGAGAATAGATCACTTAATCAGGAGAAAAAATGTGATATGGTTTATCAGTCAAATTAAATGTAAACAAACGTATATACCGAATTGTGGGGAAAATAGGTCTGAAACAGACCATCTAGTTTCACCCACTACTCAAGGTCATGTTACCCAAGTGTTAGTCTAACCTACTCATAACATGTTTGGAAAGATAGAGATTCCACAGCTTAAATACCACCAATTTAAGATTTAATTTTAACTCTCTGGCAAATTACTTTTTGTTTAAAAAAAGGGGAGGCGCCTCTCCATTTATATCTATATGTATGTGTGTGTGTATATATATATGTGTGTATACATGCATGCATATGTGTGTGTGTATCTATCTGTATATGTGTGTGTATGTATGTATATGTAACTGGATTTCCCAAGGTGAGATATTTAATTGAAGAATAATAGGAGACAGTAGGTACGCTAGGCTTATTGTTTAGTTTGGAAACTCTGAATTTAAGTCATTAATGACAGAGTAGTAAATCCTTGATTTAAACATATTTTTCACTTTCATCATGTTGTAGTTATTTCTGTAACTCAGAGTTTTTTTCCATGATGTTGGAGTGATACTAAAGCATGTTAAATGTAATCTTTACATTGCTGCACGATGACTGTGGCTGTTGTCAGTCACTGAAAATTTGACCAGGCAGACCTGACTGACACGTTTTTAGCAATTAGTCTGCTATAGAAACAACTTGTTTTTCTTTTTAACCCAGAAATGTTGCTGTTTTTAAAAATGAGAGGAAAGGAAAGCAATGAAAGCAGTGTGCCTCTGATACTGTCAGTAAAGTGGAGTGTCTCTGTGATACTGCTTTTGGTTACAAATAAGTGTATAAAGCAGTTGACAAGATCACATTTTGTTCAGTCTCAGAAGAATCTGTAAAGGGGATGTGCTGGACACTTCACAGCATTACAAGATTGCCTTGTTGTGAGGATACAACAACTGGTACTCATTGTTAAAGATTTAGTATTATGACTTCTAGTGTCAACAACCTATCCCCAATGTTTCTAGAACTGTCTAATTGATTAAAATTGTAGTCTTTCAGGATTGCTTCATCAAACCTTGAGCTCTTGAGTGAATGTGATGTAATTAAAATATAAATGTCATTCAGGGTGATTAGATCTATTTCCTACAGCTCAGTTTTGTTAATAGCATCCCTTGAAGATAAATGTTTACCTGCAGGCTAATATATATGTGTATATGTATATACATGTATTATGCACATGTATGTGTGCAGTATTAATTAACATTGGTATCTACAGTGTGTGTACTCTACACAGCAGACATCAAATCATTAGCAATGGCGACAGTCTCTCGATAACAAGGATGATGATCTTTCAGTAAAGAGGGAAGTCACTGGGCAGTCCATGGATGACTATGGAGGCCTATCTGAGATCTGCATGTTCCATTGCAGATGTAGAAAATAATTTCAGGAGGAATTTCAGGAGGAAATCCTGGTGATGTCGGGTCACCGCTCTTTCCCTTTGTCTCCGTTGTGTATTTGCCTCCATAGGGAGGCAAGCTTGCTCAAAATGATCTTTGCCTTATGCACCTGTGCACCACAGGGGATGATT